TTTTAAAGTAATTCGTATAGTTGTAACATATATTAAGAAATTACTATCAATGAGTATAATTCAAATACTCATTAATAAAAGTGTTTTAAACAAAAAAAATCTATTTATCATAAATAATTAACTTCTATAATTATTCTTAAATTAATCAACTACATCTTATATTAAAAGATGGAAGTAGTATGATTTAGGGCTCATTTGATTGACCCCCAAGATATCTATAGTTTCACACAACAAATTGTAATGAAAATACAATGCAACGGTAATCACATATATAAGTGCGTACACACTTAAACGTGTTAACGCCAAATTCAGATTTAGAATTTCGTTTAAACATGACGGGGGCCTCATCTAGACAACTTGCAGTTGATGCGTCAGCTTAGGCATAACTTCAACTTGTGTGTTTTTGGCACATTTTTTCGGTGCCCTTTGCATAACTTGGTTTTTTTTTTTTTTTGGCGAACAACTTTAATAAATATTTGGTATTAAAAAAATGGAAATATCGGTTCACTTTGTTTGGGGGTGGGTGGTTGGCGCGGGGTTCAAAAATGAGACATCGGGTCTCAGTCTGACAAATCAAGCTCCCAGCTTCACTCTCAGCCTCACAAGTAGTTTTCAATTTCCCTCCAAAAAAAAAATCTTTCATAAAATGAAAAGAAACATTTAAAAAGAAAAATCTAAGCTGACGTGTCTATTCCCGGCCAATGCACTATCCGACAACCAAGTTCCTCTTCCTCCTCAGCAACGTGTAAATGACGTGTCAGAGAAATCCAATCTCCCACGTTTGGAAAATTTCATGACACGTGGCAACTTTTACGGCGTCTTCCTTCCTCCTTATTTTCCTACCTCGCTTTCTATAAATAAGGCGTCACACATTTCGCTTCTCTCACTCGTCGTCCGATTCTTCTGCTTCTTCTTCTAATTCAAATTCTCTTGCTTCCATAATTTCCCCTCTGGTAGATTTCTCTCTTCCTCGGTTTTCTTTTTCCCACGCGTTAACATTTTCTCGGTTCATTTTCAAGGGAGAGATAGAATCCATTTCTTTTCGATCTTGTTAATTAATTTTCTCGTGAAAGAAAATGAAGGAAAGCGCAGGAAACCCTTTGCATCTTAAGTCCGTTAACCACATCTCCCTCATCTGCAGATCAGTGGAAGAATCCATAAACTTCTACCAGAACGTTCTTGGCTTCTTCCCTATCAGGAGGCCCGGCTCTTTCGATTTCGATGGCGCCTGGTAATTTCTACGTACCCTTTCCCTCCTTCAAAAAAAGAAAGAATAAATAACTCAAGAAACGTAGCAGGATTGTTTTTAATAGTTTCCTTACGTTTTTCTGTTTGATGATGAACTTTGTGAAGGCTATTTGGGTACGGGATCGGAATTCATTTGCTGCAAGCAGAAGACCCGGAGAACCTTCCCAAAAAGACAGAAATTAATCCAAAGGATAATCACATCTCCTTCCAGGTGAGATCATATTATGCTCAAAAACGTGGTTTTGGGTTCTAAACATTACTTTTGTCCTTTTTTGGAACAAAACTCTTCTTATATACTACAAATGTGTATTGATCTCTCTAAATTATTCTTTGATACGAACTTCTTATAATTAATAGTGATATTTTGAAAAAAAAAATGAGATAAAACAGATGAAGTTTTATATTTAGAATCAAATTTAACTCCCCACTAATTTTATACTATTTCCAGTCCCAATCATAAGACCGTGTTTGTAAACCATAAACGGGGTTTTATAATTGAGACCAAAGGTAATATTAAGGACTAAAGGTAATATTTATCTCATATAATGTAAAATCACGTGAAATAAGTTAAATCAAACACCCATTGGCTCTCAGTTGTCAAACGGTTTTACTGATGGATGATGGTGATTTGTGTTTTGAAGTGTGAGAGCATGGGAGGAGTGGAGAAGAAGCTTAGGGAGATGGAGATGGCGTACGTGAGGTCCATGGTAGAGGAAGGTGGGGTTCAAGTGGATCAGCTGTTTTTCCACGACCCAGATGGGTTCATGATCGAGATATGTAACTGCGATAGTCTTCCCGTGGTCCCATTGGCCGGTGAGGTTGCCAGATCATGCTCTCATCTCAACCTCCAGATGATGCAGATTCAACAAGTGGTCCATCCTTAATTAAGGACACGCCCGTATCAAATTTGAATCCCTCTCAGATATACATCAACAAGACTATTCCACTTGATTTATTAGGGTTTATCTTTGTCCTTCTTCTTTTTCTCGTAATTAATACTTGTTTGGAAGGATATTCAAATCAATGAAATAATTCCATCATCGCCCCAGGAAGAGGAACCTAGTACCTTCTTGTTCTTTATCCTTTAATGTGGTTTTGTTTATTATAGTTGATTAGGTTGGTTTAAGTTGTAAATAATTGCATGGTTATCCCAAACTATTACGTAATTATGAAATGATCAATGATAAATTAGTAGTATTATTGTTTTGTACCATTTGGTTGATGTGGCTTCGTATTGTCCTTGATCAAAGTCCACCACTTGCAGCTTTCATTATATGGTGGTGGGGTCCTTCAGGGTACGTCGCCATCGTTGTACGAGTAAGTTCTCATCAACATTTCAAGGATCAAAACCCATAGATCAATAACCTGATTTTTGCTTACCATAATCTGTTCATATAAACCGCAGTACAAATTCTTTTCACATACTTATTTTATAAATTGTAAAATCATGATTGAAAAGTCAGTTCAGGACCTTAAAGCATGAGAAGCAATGAGTTGATGAACATCGATAGACCGAGATTGAACCAAAATCGTTATAATTAAAATAATATAACTTAATTAAAAAGACATTAATTAATAATTAAGTGAACCAACACTCGTGTATAAATAATACATAATTCAATAAAATAGAATTACTAAAGTAAAAGATATTGATGAATTGTTTCTTCCTTTAAAAAAGTCAAAATGGCATTGCTTCAAACTTGGTAAAAAAGAAAAAAAGTAAAATTCAAACTCACTACTTTAAATGTCCGACTTAGATTAGGTTTTAGTACTATATTGTTTCAGCCTTTTAATATTTATGCAATTTTTACGCTATATGCTTTTTAATCACTAATGCCGTCATAACTAAGGGTGTGTTTGGATGAAACCAAATCATGGTTTGAAAAAGTGATTCTGGAGAATAGATTCTGGGAAGAATAGATTCTGGGAAGAATAAATGTTATGAAAAAGTGATTTTGAGAAGTGAGAGTGTTTGGATAGTTGTTATCAGAAGCACTTTTTATATATACAAATTACTAAAAAAAAGACATAAGTTAATATGATAATTACAGAAAAAATAGATTTTATGATATATTTTAATTTGAAGGAATAAAATTGTTAATAGTATATTTTTTATTAACATAATTAATAATACATAAGATAATATAATTAATAAATAATTAATATGTATATATATTTTTAAAATATAAGATTAAATATGTTTATAAAAAAATATGTTTATAAAAAAAATAACAAGATTCATATCCTATAAACTCTCACACTCTCCCTTTTTTCTCCAAAAGCAAAAAATTTCTGCTTTTTCCAAAACCATAGTTTTGGAGCTAAAACCATAGTTTTGGTCCAAAACCACGGTTTGCCCAAAACCAGTGGGTGTTTGGGTGACTTATCACCCAAACCATGGTTTGGGGTGTCACCCAAACGGAGCCTAAATCTTAACTTGCATGTCTCCATTTGTTGCTCTCTCTCTCTCACACCAAGAACACAATATGTTGGGTGGCGTTGTAGATAATATATATGGAGGAGAATCCAGGATCAATTGCTTTGAATGAGGCAGATTCCAGTTATTAATTGTGACTGGCAAAAAAAAACAGCATAGTTGCTTTAATTTAATTAATTCAAATGCAATACTTTAATTTATTTTGTTTTTGAGTTTATATTTTTTTTTTCTAAACTATGTATCTTTATTATTCCACATCTTAAACGGATATTTCTAGGCAGTATAAATTATTAAAAAGATATTTTTTTTAAGGAAACAGCATATATTTGTTCACAAAGAATTAAGTTATTAATTGATTTTATTAATCTCCATAAATTAAGTATTTAATTTTTATATTTAGAATGGGAGGCAATATATGGGTGGTTTGGTGAGTAGGAAAGGACAATTATGATGACGGCCAAAGGGGGGCAGAGACAATGACCCTTTTTCTTTTGCCACACTAAAGTTTAGCCGCATATATACATGTATACAAACAACGTGTCCATTTTGTTTTTTTCAAGTCTGAATATGTCACTATATTAAGCGAATAGTAAGTATCATGTCATTTGCGTCTTAAGACAAGTCATTTACTTCTTTCTCCCTACCCCATTAGTGCTTAATTAATCTTGATAATTAGTATGAGAGAGGGGATGCCGCAGATAGCCTGAAAAGCTAATTATAATTATTAAGGTCGAACCCTGCTACTAATTATAATTATTTATGCGTGAGGTTTTGAATTTGCCTTCTTTGTAGGCATCATATTACCTTCGGTCTTTAATATAAAAGTTAAATATAACTAATTTGATGTTATTAAAAAAATTAGTTAAGTTAGTTATTTGTAATAAACGGATGTTATCTTTTCTACAATACCTATATTAATCATATGCGTTAGAATTATCAGTTGATGAAAACTTCTTAACATGTGTAATTACCATAGAGATTATTTGAAAGCAAAATACATAAATATTTGAAACAAAGTGTATTAAAGTTTTATATTTAATATCATATTAAATTTTTAACCAGCGCTTATATTGAGAACTAGAATTGTGAGATCGTTAAATGAAGGATAGCAAGAAAAAAAGGATTTATATAGAGGGATATGAGTTACGAGCAGAACGTGCCTATGAGTTATGCTATGGAGAAAAACAAATTAAACTGCTCCTTGTCCTTAAAATAATTTAGTTAGTTATTTGTAAAAAATATACGTTGGTATTCAAAATTATCTTTTTAATTAATCAATAGAATTGAAAAATATTCCAATAAAAACCCATTAATAAGTGCAACTAATTGGAATAATTTGAAGAACAAATTATAAATTTGAAAGAGGTTGGAATATTATATTTAGAATCCAAATAAACTCCTCAGTTATCTCATACATTTAGAGCTCATATCGTCTTCGTCTCTTACCAAATTCAAATCCAAGTATGCAACAAAAGCTAGAGGCCTCTAGCAAGCATCTGCTCATAATTCTCAATGGACTGAAGTCTCTGGATCATGAGTTGTTTCCTAAAATTGTTGATGAAAGCTTCAGCACTCGCATTTATGTCTTCCGTCGTCGTCCTCTCCAGCGTCTGCTTCTTCCCCTCTTCTTTTTCCCGCGACGATCCCGCCGCCGCTTCTTCCTCCTTCATTGATCTCTTCTCCTTCAAATCCACAGCCTTGTAGTTCTTGTTCTTCATCTCTTCTTCGCAGCCTTTTCTCATTATTGGTCTCCTCTTGAAACGTCAAGTAGCCTTATGTATATAAATGCTTGATGATGACTGAAACAAGATAATATGGTTGACAGATATATATATATATATATATATATATAAAACAAGACAAGAGGGAACAAGTGGAACATGGCCTTCATTAAGTAGCTTCATTAATTTGTGTTTTGTGTGTAAAGATGGTGACAATTAAGTGACAGCTATGACAAGCTGTAAAAGGATCCTATTGAGCTTCCAAAATTAGCGCCAAATATCACATATGATTATTTTAATAAAAAAGCTATTTATATATATAATAAAAAAGTCCCATATATTCAATTAAATATATATGCATGAATAAAATAATGGTCCATCACATCCTGCCGACTTTATTTGGGGTGTGAAAGTTACATAACAAATTAAAAGTCAACAAATAGAAGCATATGGGGTGCAATTATTTGAGCATTATGGAAGCCCATCTTGCGGCTTAAGAGTTGCATAATGTATATGTAAATAAATAAGGTACATTGCATGCACCAATATGAACATAAATGCGGATATATGCGTTATATATGCATGCCCATCCTTGGAATTATGCAACCTTTAACACGTACGGTTTCCCACCCCCTTCTACCATTATTTGGCATAAATTTGCCACTCAATTAGGAAATAAGGGCTTGTTTGATTTTATTATCTATTTTCATGTTTCTAAAGTAATTCTGTAAAGTAATTTTTCAGAATAAGTTTTGAAAATAAAAAATTTAAAAGTTTTGTTTGAACTATTATTTTGAAAAGCATATCTAAAATGAAGTGAAGGGTGAGAAAATAGTTTGTTTTCTGAGCATAATGGTCATTAATGAAAATAGTCGAAATACAATGGTCTTTGCTTATTCTCTTCCTTTTTCTTTTTTTTTTTGGTTCTTCAGAACAAATTTTAACTTTTTTTGGTTTTTTAGAATGCATAACTAAAAAGACATTTAAAAAAAAAAGTTTCAGTATTTTGTTTTGTAAAATTTATAAATCTTTAATTTTCCTGTAAACTACTATTGATTATGCGTATTAAAGAAAGTTTTCATTAGTGAGGGTAGTTTCTAATGTAGATTATTAAAATGAGTATATTTTAGGAAAACAAACACATATTTATTACACATAAAGTAACTAAATTATTATTTTTTAATATCTATACATTACTTACTTATCTGCATTTAGAATTGTAGGGAGTGTCATATTGCAATAATCATATATGACTAATTAAAGTGAATCCCATGTATTTGCGTATAAATTTTGAAATGGCTACTAAAGCTTGGCCTCATGCATTTACATGAAGTTCAAAGTGAATCATACTTTTTTGTCACTTATGAAAATGTAACTTTTCTACTATTTTCTTTAGATAGATTAATGAAGATGTAAACTTTTAATCAGTCTCTTCTTTCAAAAATAGAGTTTAAACTGAAGCATAAGGAGAAACATGCACAAATTTGTCAAGACACACACACACACACACACACACACACACAGAGAATGCAGATAGGATTTTCTTTTGGGTCTGTAGCCACATCGTTCTGACTGTTTGTGAGTGACTTGGATTTTTGAAGCCCAGGCATAGCTATAGGCTATATAGACCAACAACGAACTCATGTCATGAATTGTCCTTTCACCAACAAAAAAAAAACAAAAGAAAAGGGAAGAGGCCCCTTCACTGTTAAGCCCAAACAAAGAAAAGGTAAGACCTTCACCCTCCAAGCACCACACCATTGTCGTTGATTAAAAAAACAGCACAAGTTGCAGAGCTCACGTCCCAGAAAGCCCATGGAGGCGCTTCACCGTCTATCATTTCGTTTCCTCTCCGTACCCCTAGCTGAAAGGTGCCTCCTAACTGCTTCAACAACCCCGACATTGTCCCCTGCCCGAGTATCACTATTCAAAGCTGGAAATTCACTGTTCTATGGGAACCCCACTACCTCGAAGTCTTTCAACTCGGCATCTCCTAGGAGGGTGGCCAAAGCAGGATGGTTTGTGGGTCTTGGAGCTGATAAAAAATTAAGCTTGCCTGACATTGTCAAAGCCGGTGACCCAGTTCTCCATGAACCTGCCCAAGAAGTTAATCCTGATGAAATAAGCTCCGAGAGGATCCAGAAGATCATCGATGATATGATAAAGGTCATGAGAAAGGCTCCTGGGGTTGGCCTAGCGGCTCCGCAGATTGGAATTCCCTTGAGGGTCAGTTAAAATTTTGATGATTTAGATACACAAGGTTCCCCAAATTCTTCAATTTTCTTGACTTTGTTCTTCTCGGTGCAATCTGAATTCTCAGCTCATTTGCCCTGTGTGGGTCACTGTAACTGTTTCATGGGGAAGAAAGCAACCGTGACAACACGAGGAAGAAAACAACCATGACAATAAATTGTGCTTAAAATATGATTCTTTGGTCGTGTACTTACTCTTTGAGCACAGGTGCTCTGTCATGATGTTTCCATTAATAGTCGACGGTCTAGGTGGTTCTCCTTGGTTGCCTTTTCATCTTATGTCTCTTGATTAGCGACTTAAGCGAACTTCTTAATGGTTGTTTGTTGAATTTTGTAAATTGAAATCACCGTCTTTGGGTCTAAAATACCATATGAATATGGGACATACAGAAATACCTGGAGGCGCCAGGCGGGCGGACAAAAGGCTGCTTAACTTGCTTCTTAATGCGAAGTACAATATTCATTATGTAAACATGACTTCTAAGTAGTGGAGGAGTCCATTGGTGACTAATTTTATTGCTTAACAATATATTGAAGATCTAAAGTATCGTGATTTATAGTAATAGCATACTGTTCTGAGTACTACCGAGGAATGTGCTGAAATAATAATAAGTATGTATTGCCTTTTTGTTTATGCAGATAATTGTTTTGGAAGATACAACAGAGTATATTAGTTATGCTCCCAAGGAAGAGATAAAAGCTCAAGATAGGCGACCCTTTGATCTTTTGGTATGTCCATCCCACAGAAGAGAAAAGCTTGCAATAAATTCTGTAGTTTTTTTCCTGAAGGTATGTTATCTTGAAATACAAATTCATTAGTTCTGTTGAGGCAGGTTATCCTAAATCCAAAGCTGGAGAAGAGAAGCAACAGGACGGCCCTATTTTTTGAAGGTTGCTTGAGGTAATATTCTCATTATTTGGAAAGGACTTATTTTAGATTTTTTTTCCCCTGCCATCATAGTTGCTTTGCACACTACCAATTGATTCTTTTTTGCACATGGTACAATTCAGTAACTGTGACCAAGTCAGGCTAGAAATATAAGACCATGCACACCTTTTATAACTCTTCAATATGAGTTCTTGAGCATCCTGCATAAATGTACGATACTTGAACATTTAAATGAACTGTCAAGAATGTGGATGTGGTGTTCTTTCATAAGTAATGGCGGTCCTTCATTTAAGCATTTGGTTTATAGTTGATGTGGTTGAAAATAATAATTGTTCTTAATGGTTAAGAGGAAGGTTGTCAAACCCTAGAGCTGCTGAGATTTTTTTTTTTTTTTTTTGGTTTTATTCTCGGGTGGGGGATGGCTCTGATGGTTTAGGGGTATATCTAATGGATTTTATATATATGCCCATGACATATTGTAATTTCAATGCCTCTTGAAGTGGAAAAAAGAAAACTAGTTAAAAGAAAGAGTAGAGAGTAACAGACAGCAGTATGTCTGGTGAACCAAAGAAGAATCTTTTAGGCTTAAGGAGCAATTGATCAAATTGAGGGCTTCTTGTTGAGAGAGCAGTCTATTATTCTTCAGATGTGGGGTGGGATGTGGCAAAGAGAATATTGGTAGAAATTTTCCCCCAAAAAAAAACAAGAAGAAAGAAATAAAAAAGAAAAATCCAATTTCATAAAAATTTTACAATAGTAAGTTTGGTTTTTAAATTTGTTTGTGGCCCTAATTTGGTTGCAATTTGATGCATTTCCTGGTCTAAACCCTTGAAATTTTGAGTGTATTGTTAAGTAGCTAATTTAACACCGGTTCAAGGAAATATCAAATCCTGATTTATTCCTTAATCTCTAATTATCGAACAATCTCAGTATTTTTGTACAAATCCACCGTAGTATTATTAATTATATGTAAACAAGTTAAAGATGACTATTCGCATATGCTCTGACGATGTCAAGATGTTGGGATCTTAAGAACGTTCTAATCACTAAATACAATATCATCTATACTCAAGTTGGTGGTGTAAATGTATTTGTGTCCAACATCAAATGCTTTGTAGCGAAGTACTGAGCAAATGTTTAAGCATTTGATTTCTGATTTATCAATTTGAAGAGTAAACATGGCTGCATTAATTATAGGGGATTCGCAATTGCAACATGGTGGGATTAGATACTGTCTATTGGGTTATCTTCTCAAGTTCAATTCAGTCGCAATATGATAGAGGTAAAAAAGAATTGACCGCATTCTTGATGTGGGTCACAGTTTCTCAATATAATAATTCTAGCCTGTATAGTGCTTTGGGTTTGATGTGGCAATGAGGTGTGTAACAACATGTATTCATTGTTATCCATAGTTATTAACATCTTCCTCCTTATTGATATTCTGCAGTGTAGATGGATTTAGAGCAGCGGTGGAGCGATACCTTGATGTTGAGGTCACAGGTCTGGATCGTAATGGAAAACTCATCAAAATAAATGCTTCCGGCTGGCAGGCTCGAATATTACAGCATGAGTGTGATCATCTTGATGGAACCCTCTATGTTGATAAAATGGTTCCTAAGACTTTTAGAACGGTAGAAAACTTGGACTTGCCTCTGGCCCAGGGCTGCCCAAAACTAGGTCCTCGCTGATCCCGGGTTTTGATGCTGCCTTCCACTTTTTGCTAGAGCATCAAAACTGGTTTCTTATGAATGTTAGTGAGGATTCGTGAGTCCAAATTGAAGTATATCATCTATATGATTGAATGCTGTCTCAATTTGAGCATGGGGAAAGCCCTGTAAGTTTTGTTGTATTATGTTCTCGTAACTTCCATATGATTGAGT